ACTCTTTTAAATAGCATTTTCATGTTTTTTCATTTTGAATATAGAATTATAATTGATTTTTGTGCATTTACCTTGTATTCAGCAATACTGCCTAACTCATTTATTTTTCTAATATTTAACCTTGTTTCTTTAGAATTTTATACGTTTACTATCATATCATCTGTGAAAGTAGAAGTTTTATTTTTCCCTTGTCAATCCTTTTATTTATTATGTCATTTTCATACCTGACCAGACTGGCAAGGACTGCAAGTGAAAATGTTGAATAGAAATTATAATAGTAGACCATCTGATCTTTTTGCTCAACCTCAAAGGGAAAGCTTTCATTGACCATTTCACAACTAAATATGATTGCATATATAAAGGTTCTAATGTACATGTTCCACACACACACATACATACATTTTATCAGATTAAGCAAATTTCCTAGAATAAGTTTGCTAAGAGAGTTTTTAAATAAATGGTTATTGGATTTTACCAAATGCTGTTCCTCTACCCACTGATAAGTTCATATAATTTTTCTCCTTTATCCTGTTAATGTGATCAATTACACTGATAGATTTATTTTTTAAAAGATAACTAATATTCCTGGAATAAATTCAACTTGGTAATGATTTAGTATTCTTTTTAGATATTGCTGGATTCAATTTGCTAATATTTTGCTTAGGATTTTTGCATCTATGTTGACAAAATGTATTTTTTTTAAACTTTGTCATGATAATCTTGATGGTTTTTGCTTTCAAACTATACTTACTGGCCTCAAAAACTTAGTCAAGGAGTGTTCCTTCTTTTCCTATTACAGTGTGTGTAAGATTGTTTTAATTCTTCTTAAATGTTTGGTAGAATTCATCAGTGAAGCTATCTGGCTCTGGACTATTCTTCATGAAAAGGGTATTTTTATGGACTATTTTTACAGAGAAAGAATAGAACCACAAGAATCGTTCATTGTTCAGGGAATTCTGAGGGCCAGAAGTGAGAGAGAGAGAGAGAGAGAGAGAGAGAGAGAGAGAGAGAGAGGTAGGTGGTGGTGTGTGGAGAGAGAGAGAGGTGGTGGTGTGTGGCATTTCAAGTTACCTGACACTTTCCTAAAAGGACTCTGCTGTTGGTTCCCAACTATCTCGGCACTCATCCCTGAGCCGGCAGGTCTGCAGGATAAACACAGTCTCTGAGCACAGTTCCCAGGCTGCCGGATCCCACCTTCCTGCCTTCCCGATGACCCCGAGGCAGGTCTTTCAGAAGCGAAGCCCTGGTGCTGGGCAGAGAGCAGCGAGGGGAAGGGGGAGGAGGGGCTGGTTCAAGCAGACAGAAGCTCTTTGTTTGCTCTGCTTCTTTGTAAATGAGGCAACATTTGAAAACAACAAATATTGGTTCAGAGAACCAACATCTCCGTGCCCATCCCCTCTAGGCCAGCCACCCAGCCCCCTGCACGTACACACAAGTTCAGCTCTTTTGACAAAAGGGCCAATTCTGTTGAAATTTCGGAGTTTTATTCAGCTTGTGGTGGAAAATTTGGGTCATGACTTAGACTGGTTTGTAGCTGGAAGCTCGCTTCTCTCTCTCTCTCTGTTTCTCTTCTCCCTCCCTCCCTCCCTTCTTCCTTTCCTTCCTCTCTTTTTCCCCCTTCTCTTCTGGAGAAATAAAGAGAAGATCAATAATTAAAAAAAAAAAAGTAAAGAAGATCAAAATCAAGAAGGCAGCTGTGGTCTAGAGAGGGCTGGGACTCAGGAGATTTGAGTTCAGGTCCCAGAGCTCTGTGAATGAGCACCTGTTATTTTACTGCAGTGTCCACATCTAAAAAATGGGGGGCTGATCTCATCTTCTAAGACAGTTGGTCAAGATCACAAAGCCTTGCCCCAGAACAGTGCCTGGCACATGGAAGAGCTGAAAAGATGATCCTTTCCTTCCACCCGAGCGTGACAAGCCAGTGCATGCCTGAGGTTCTGCAGTGGGGGCACCCAGACCTCTCCCAGAGAGACAAGCCTCTCTGCAGACAGAAACGGGGGGGCTACGCGTCTGTGGAGAAGTGGCAGGGCTAGGAGTGCCCTGTTCCTCAGGGTGAGCCCAGGTGAGCCCTTTGGCCTCTGTGTGTCCCCATTTCCTGGGAGAGTCCGGATCCCTGGTGCATTGGAACAAACGCTCTGGAAGCAGACTGCCTAATTTTGCACCTGGCTCACCAGCTGACCCTGACAAGTTGTTAACCCCTTAGGGCCTCAGTTTCCTCATCTCATCTGTAAAATGGGATTCTAATGTACCAATCTCAGACAGCTGTGGTAAGGGCCCAGTGAATCTCAGTAGCTGTTAGCCATCATTAAGCTGTAAAAGAGGGACAATGAGCTTCCCAGCTCCAGAGTGTCTCCAGTAAAGAATTAAACACCACATGGGAGAGCGCAGGGACAAGTGTCATGGGCCACCAAGGACACGGAACACTGATATTTTAACCTCTCTCCTCCACACACCCCCATCCAACCAGCCTTACAGCCAAGGTGGGTGAACATATACACCACAGCTGGCCTTTCCCCTGCCTCCGGGGAGTGGCAGACACTCTAGCTTGTCCTCCTGAGCAGGAACTAAGGTCCACCTGAGCAGATGATGGTGGATCCGGTTCTCTGTGTCTCCTCCGGCCCTCCTTCAGATCCCTGGGCTGTGCACTTTTTCTCCCTGCACGTCTCGGCCTTAGACTCAGAGGGCTCCTTTGAGGCAGGGCGTGGGGTTGGCTGGCCAGAGTGGTCTCTCTGAGGGACTCGGGCTAGGCTGTGGGCCTGTTCCCAGAGGCGCTGCCTCAGGAAAGGCTCACTGTGTGAGTGCAGGAGGGCCCCAGGGGGGAGGATCATGGTCCATCTGCCCACCATGCTCTCCACTGAGCTGCCCTGAGTTGGTGGATTAGCTCCACACTTGGCAACTCTCCTTCCTGCTTCTGGGCAGACTCTGCAAGCTCATGCAGGGCCTGCAGATGGTCTCAGATGTGTGTTGGCACCCTGCTCTGTGGAGTCTCCTCCCAGCCAGCCCTGCCTCTGACTTTCTACCTCCAGCTTCATCTCTGTACCCTAAGGTTCCCCACATGAAGCCAGACTCCCCTAATGCCTGCTGGGTCATTCCTGGCTCCCTCCAGCAAAGTGGTCTCCAAACCTGGGTTCCCCAAGGCTTGAGGAGGAGGGCCCACGAGGGCAGGGGCTGAGGAAGGGCAGCAGCTGCCACTCTTCTTCATGGTAGGGCAGGGATTTGGAGGGCTGGGATTGTCCTTACCATATGTCCTTACCATAGACAGAAAGCCCCTGCTAAAGCAATGCTCTCTGCGGTGGGGTGTGTGTAACTCCTTGTATGTGAGCCAGCTTACTGGGGTGTGGGAAATAGAACTTACCTTCCGGTTACATTCACTCTTCATGCAAAAGACTGAACAAGTTAACACCCCTATTTCACATGGGGATGAGTATTGTCTCGCACCTGGTCTACAGGCCGGGCCGACGCATCACGGAGGGGCTTTGAGGTGTCCTGAAGAATGACAGGGAACACCTCACAAGGGGAGGGGTGGGGGAAGGGGTGCTGGGAGGTGCGACTCCCTGACTTGTCCTTTGCTTTCGGCTTTTGTGACTCCACATTTTGCGGTTTGCACGTGCCCAGCACAGCGGACGCACAGACTAGGCAATGTGGCTTAACTCCTCAGACCTCACAAAATGCACCAATGCCTTAGAAAGATTCCTGCAAAGAAACGAGAATTAGATGATTCTGGTAATACTAACACAGGTGAACAGAAATCAGACGACACTACTGACACATCTAGTGTAAATCTGTTAGTGTAAATAGGACCAAAAACAATGGTCATCTGATTGGATTGGTTAAGAAGTAACTTAAGAAAATCCTAAAATTATCTTGATAATTTACAGCTACTATCAGAAACTTTGCCCTTTCCCTAAGTGCGTATTTTACCTTGAAATATTGTTCATTGTGTATAGGGCAGAATAAATAGAGATTTTAAAATAAATGTTTCATCTTTGTCTCATTGTTTAAAAAAATTTCTATTCCTCTCATGATTGAAATGTACATAATACTAGTTTTAAAAGTATATACATAGAATGGACCGCCTCAGTATTTTCCGGATAATGATGGGCTATCAAAATGGTTTGGAGACCACTTTTCTGGAGGGAGCCAGGGATGACCCAGGGCCTTGAGATCAGGCGACATCCTCTCCTGGGTCCCTTTCTTTGTGCGCCTGTGTCACTTTGTTCTGTGTGTCACAGAGTCTTGACCACATTCCCGGGCAGCTTCTTGAAGGAGAGACTCGGACTCCCTTGTAACTCTGTCCCTAG